GATATTCATCATATGTAAAATAAAAGGTGTCACTGAAAGGGAAAATGGTAATAATCTCTGGGATTTACAATGCCAGCAGATTTGCTTGTGAGGAAGAGAAAAGTTCATCAAAATAGATTAATAGTCGCTAAACTTCATTCTTTCCTTGTGTGTTTGCCAGAGAATCATGCAAATAATAGTGGAGAGGCAGCAAATGCATCAGCTTGGTATCCTCCCAACACCCTGAGGATCTGGCTGCCAAAGTGGGGAGTGCTGGAGATAAGTTCCTGTGACCACTGAGGGACTGGGTGGGAATGGAGAGCTCCTCTGTGAGTCCATGGTTTAGTCACTAAACAACAGAGGAAATCACACCCAAAGTGTTTCTGGTTGAGTGGATTAATCCCCGCAATTTATTATTCAGTTCGTCGATGAGTATTGAACCCCTGCTCTGTACCTGATATTTTGGGGGTGCACTTATTCCTAGTTAAGGGCTTGGGCACAGGGGAGGGTCACAGATTGGCTGTAACAATGAAAAGCTGTGTGATGTCGAGCAGGTTAGTTGACCACTCTGAGCCTCAATTTCCTGACCTGTAGAGGTACTATATATTACATCAGATATAATTAGAATCAAATAAAGTGTGGTGTATAAACTGCTTATTGTCCCATTTTCTGTGTAATAAGCTTTCATTGCATGGTAGTTATTATGAATCTTGTTCTTATTACCTCGCATCCTCTCTTCTATGAAGACATCATTTTTAAGATACGTCATCAATGTCATAACAGATTTTCTGGAATTTGAAGAAAGATAAACATATATACACAAGCCAGTTACGGAGATTTTTGTATGTTTTTAAAAAAACATCTTCGAGTCAAGAAAATGTATTGTTGTTATAGGGAGACGAGTGAGGTGAATGGAGACCCTTCTTAGTCATAGGAGGAGGGATAACAGGTCTAGAGCCAAACTTTGCTAGGTTCAAATTCGTCTTATCATGGGCAAGTCACTCAGTACCTTATAGTCTCTGAAGGGTTGATATGAGGATTAAACTGGATAATTTATATAATGGCTACATGCAGTTCTGGAGCATAGTAGATGAACTCCATCAATGACCATTGTGTCATTACTTTTATTATTATGTATTCACCAATCACTTGCCACGAGACCAGCACTGCCTAGGAATCAGGGAGGTTGAAATCTTATAAGAAGACATGGAGGAAAGATTGAAGGACTATGTGTCCCATAAGAGTAAATGTTGAAAGGGCTGTAGGAATAGAGAGAACAGAGTTGAGAGGAGAGAGAAATTGTAATGAATTGGTGGCATCCAAAACCCTTCCATGAACCCATGAGTCTTACAGTGAGGTTAAACCATGAATTAGATGGTAGCAGGTACAGAGAAGCATACAACCAGGACAAAGCAGAGCTATAGGAGCCGGCTTGGTATCACTGGCAGATACTCTGGTATCATAGGTACTGGAAGAACCTCTGGGCTCCTGGGGCTTCATCAGCCCCTTAGTGGTTTGGTTCATCCCATCATGTATCTGAAGTGTAATCTCCATCTTGATTACTCAAACACAAAGTCCCTCAGGTTATGTGTGTGAGCTTGTGAGGGAGAGGGTCTGTGCCTGTGCAGGCCTGTATCAGGCATGGCTGGGCTGACTTCCCGAGTTGGTGGGGTCCATCACCCTGTTAAGGAGAACACTCTGTTCTCCTTTGGCTCTTGGTGATTTGGAAACCCAAAGGGACCCAGTTTTGTTCTATGGCACTGATCAGATGCTTGGCGATGCTCTCACCTTATTCTCTATGGAGCCAACTGGATCTTCTCAGGAGAAACTTCTTTTAATTGCTATGCTCTGGCCAGCATTCAGTGACAGGACTAGCCTTCTCTGATGCTGCTTTTCTTCCCCAAGGCAAGCTTGGTGACATTTACAGTGTCCTGTAGAGAGCTGTTTTTTAAGCATATAATAAGTGACCAGAGCGTATACTTTGGGGTTTAAAAACTTCATCACTGGGTATGAGATCTCCTTTGGGGGTGATGAAAATCATTTAGAATTGGGTAGAGGTTGTGTAACACTGCAAATGTGCTAAATGTCACTGAATTGTACATCTTCAGATGGTTATTTTTATGTAATAGGAATTTCACCCCAATTAAAAAAAAAGTTATCATCGTCAACACAAAATCAGGAAAATAGCTATATCCGAAAAGGAGGCCAGGGTCAGGACAGGTGTAGGTCATGGAAGCACTTTAGAAGTGTATGTCAATTGTCTTTAAAGTTCTAGTTCTGAGCTGCTCGGAGTGGGGTCCCCAGACCAGCAGTATCAACATTATCTGGAAACTCATTAGAAAAGACAATTCTTGGGGCACTTGAGTGGCTCAGTTGGTTAAGCGACTGCCTTCGGCTCAGGTCATGATCCTGGAGTCCCGCATGGGTCTCCCTGCTTGGCGGGAAGCCTGCTTCTCCCTCTGACCCTCCCCCCTCTCATGTGCTCTCTCTCTCTCTCGCATTCTCTCTCTCTCAAATAAATAAATAAAATTAAAAAAAAAAAAAGACAAGACAATTCTTGGACCTCACCCCAGATTGATCAACTCAAAGACTCTGTAGGTGGGGCCCAGAAGTCTGAGTTTTAAATAGCTTTCCAAGTGATTCTGATGCAGCTCAAGTTTAAAAACTACTCTTCCAGTTCTTGGGTTGAGAGGCGTACATGTGTTGGTTTTATAATTTATGATTAAAACACTAATTCAAAAAGATGATATGCATGCCTATGTTTATTGCAGCATCACTTAAAAGAGCCAAATTATGGAAGCAGCCCAAGTGTCCATCAATAGATGAGTGGATAAAGAAGATGTGGTATATATATACAATGGAACATTACTCGGCCATAAAAAATAATGCGATCTAACCATCTGCAACAACATGGATGGATCTAGAGAGTATTATGCTCAGTGAAATAAGTCAGTTAGAGAAAAACAAATACCATATGATTTCATCCATATGTGGAATTTAAGAAACAAACAAATGAACAAAGAAGAAAAGACAAACCATAAAACAGACTCTTAACTACAAAGAACAAACAGATGGTTGCCAGAGGGGAGCTGAGTGGGGGGAATGGTGAAATAGGTGATGGGGATTAAGAGGATACTTATCTTGATGAGCACTGAGCAATATATAGAATTGTTGAATCACTATATTGTATACCTGAAACTAACATAACACTGTATGTTAGCTAGACTGGACTTAAAAAAATAAGAAAGAGAGAGGGAAAGGAAGGAAGGAAAGAAGGAAGGAAGGAAAGGAAGGAAGGGAGGGAGAAAGAAAAATAAACAAACAAATAGGATCAAACAAGGACTAGTGGTGATTGTGTATTTAGTACCAAAGATTATATTTTAATCTGATTCTATGCAGTTGAAATTTATTTTAAAAAGAAAAAGACTTCTTAGCAACTCATTGATCTTAATATGTGAATGCCCCACTTCTAAGCCAGTGCAGAACGATAGAGATTCAGAACAGATGCCTTATCAAAAAAACAAAAACCAGGGGCACCTGGGTGGCTCAGTCTGGTAACTGTTTGCCCTTGGCTCAGGTCATGATCCCAGGGTCCTGGGATCGAGCTCTGTGTCAGGCTCCCTGCTCGGTGGGGAGTCTGCTTCTCCCTCTCCCGTTGCCCCTCTCCTTGCTTGTGTGATCTCTCTTTCAAATAAATAAATAAAATCTTAAGAAAAAACAGAAAAACAAAAGTTCTGGAATACAAGAGATGAATGGCTCTAATTAGGAAATAGAGATGTGGGGATAAAGCTGAACGCTAGGGACCAAACCAGTCTCTCCTCTTGATTCATAGCTTAAGTCTTTGCACCAAGTTTTTTCCAAGGTTCTGCCTTCATGTGGACTCTTAACATTTGCTCTGCCTGGCAGTCTGTGTGCTTCCAATCTGTGCAGAGCTCGGGAGAGCCATGGGAGATGCCATCTCTTGGAGTGAGGAGCAATGGGTGGTTTTCAATAGAGATGTGACACCTCGCCTGTTCCCCACAGCCGCTGTGGATGGGCGCCAGGTTTGGACTGGAGTGGGAGGACCGGCCCGCCTCCAGCAAGTGCTTGGTGAGAACAGAGCAGAGGCCTCCAGTAATTGCCTCCTCGGCACAGCAGCCGGGTTGCTATTGTCGTCCTGCTATTTTCTCTGAACAGCCTCTGGTGTCTTCTCTGGTGAATATTAATGTCCCCCCGAGTTAGGACGATTGGGCTGAGAGCAGCCATCTGCAGGGCTGTGCCATGTTGGTGGGACTTTTCAACAAGCCCAGGCCAGAGGACCATTTCTTGGAGTGGCTTCCAGGTTCCTATAAGAATCCATCCTTCCCAAGTGAGATTACAGAGCTTGACTCCCCCAGCCATCAGATGGCGGAGCTGGGACTCAGACCCAGCATTTCTCACTTCCCGATCCAGAGTTCTTCCTCTGACCCTCGATTCCTTTCAATAACTTGCACATGGAAAGTACCAAAAAGCACCACTCAATGCATGGATTTGTAAATATGAAGGAAAAAAAATTGTGCTCAGATCAGAAATGAAATTAATTTCAAAGTAACAAGAGCTTTTGAGCAATAGTAGTTATTTAGATTCAGAAAAAAAATCCATTTCACAATCATGTCATGATGACAATGGATTAGAAACTTCTTTTAAGGCAGAATAAATCAATCTTCGGTACATCCCACCCACATCAGTAGCTTCTGTTTGCAGTTGAAACTATTTATTAGGTGTGTACATATGCAGAGCACAGTGACCAAATACAGAGTCTCTGCTCTCACCAAAAATGCCAACCACTGGGAAAGACTGTTGTCATTGTTCATTTGTTGTCTAAGTGTCATGACATGGGAGCAACTCAGTGCTGTGGGACTGGAGGCTCAGGGCCAGCAAGGGATACTCTCCGAAAGGTTATCACAAACCTATTGTGGCTGTTGTTGGAGAAGCTAATACTTTCCAACTTGGCCATGATCCCTGGTGCCATCTGACTTCTCTGTGTTTCTCTTATGATCCAGGTGACAACTGGTGGAAGAGCCAGCTACTATGTGTCCTATCGGAGAGAGGCCTTCACCCAGATAAAGCTGCCCAAGTACTCCCTGCCCAAGGTATGTCCAACCTGCTGCCCTGGGTCCTGTCCGACAAAGCAGCAGGGAGAGGCCACCACATTGGATGGCAGGGAAGTTTGACTTCCGCCTGGGAGACAAGCTGGCATTGAACCTGACTTGCCACTGTGGGACTCTGGCCTCTGCTGATGGCCCTGAACCTGGGTTCTCTATTCCTCTCTCAGCAGGGTATACAGGCAAGAGCTTTGATTCCCTGTATCTCATACATCCTGTATCACTTCAGTCCCTTCTGGGAGTTCCTCCCTCTTGCAAGGGCCTGACTGCCAAATAGAGGGACAGGCTCAGAAGGGCCCAGAGGGAGCCCAGACACTTTATTGTATGTGTGCATAAAGGTGCACAGGTGAGTCTTGTGGAGTTCATGCTTCTCTCCACATTTTAAAGCCAAATGTAAATGCACTGCCTATGTTTCTGCTCCTTTCTGCCACTATGAGTAATTAAAAAGGAATAATTTACTATAACGTTAATATCAAATGATGGCATTTTAACTCCTCTATTGGAAAATCATAAAACTTACCCTGTGGACTCCATCCCTTGTGAACAATGACTTCTTGGAGGAGCTGGATCTTAAAACCTCAGTCTGAACATGGACAGGATATAATTGCATCACCTAATGAGGCTGCAAAAAAAAAGTCAAGTCTCTGGTTGGACACATCTCAAATGTAATGTTGCAAAGATTTGGGCCTGTAAGCTTGTGCTGGGAAACATCATGAAAGGCTAAATGAGTACCAAGGTGGGAGGGATTATGGGACAAGAAGGTGGGTAACTGTCTACCCCTGGTTGTTTTATTCATTCATTCATTAATTCATTCATTCATATAAGCATGCATGAATCCATTCATTTGTTTGATCCTTCTTTTATTCATCCATTGAACTGTTCTTTCTCCCATTTAGGCTTTTACTCTGTGCCAGGCACTAAATTAAGCTCTATGGAGAGAGTAGAAAAGAAGCCACAAATGGTCTCTGCCTTCATGGAGCTTATATTCTGGTTGAGAAGAGAGACATTGAACAAACAATTGTAGGTGTAGGGAGTGTTATAGGGATAGAAGTTCAAGGACCATTGTGACATAATAGGTGGAGCTTACCTATATGGATACTGAGGACAAGTTTCCTAAGAAAGTAAGGTTTAAGATGATATAAGAGGATTAAGGAGTTAACCCTGCAAACAAGGGTTGGAAAACCAATAGAAAAGACACAAACAGGCCCTATTTTAAGAGAGAGAATATGGTTCATTCAACAAAATGAAACATCATCTCAAGAGACTGGGTTGCAAAGAGAGAGAAAGGAGGCTGATGGGATGAGCAGGGACTGTATTAAGTAGCCTCGGGGGCCATGGGATCAATTTCTCATTTTCTCTACCCTCTCTGTGACTGGTTGGTATGAGACCATTATATAGCATTGTGATTACAGGATGTACCCATCAGATATTCTAAACCCAAGCAGGAAAGGAGTATCCTTGCTTGAAAAAGATGAGGAAAGGGAAGTTCGTAATCATGTTCTTTCTGAAGGAGAAAGACCCCTTGCAGTAACTTGATGATTTCCATGTATTGGCTCAGGAGAAGCATTTCGGGAACTTTCCAAACCATATCCCCTGTGTAAGGTCTGTTCTGTCTCTGCATTGTGTGCATATCTTATGTATTTTTAACCTTCCGAGGAAAACAAACAGTTTGCTCCCCTGGGCAGTGTGGCTGCAGGTGGGGACAAATGAAGCCTGGGATTGATCACAACCCTGGAACACTCCATTAATGATCAGCAACCCCATGGCAATTTATCGTGGTGGAGTACCATCCATGCGGCCCCTTTTATAGAAGTCCATCCAGAGCAGCTTCATTAATATGAGGGCTGCTGTGAAAATAGCTGGATGGTTATCGATCCCCTTTATTAGCCAGCATTGGCTCAGATTTTCCTAGCCTAGGCCGAGGAGGTGAGGACAGAGTGGGTGGGAGTGTTTAAAAATGGAAATGGCTTTTGAGCAAGTTGTTGCTGTTCCAGGAGCTGCGGCTGCTGTTGGGCATCTTGCTTAAAAACAAGAACAAGGAGAAGCTCCCTGTCATCACTGCCCTCACACCTCTCCTCCCAGCCTGTCTGTTCCGAACATGCTCCCCTGGGGCACTCCGTGGCTTGGAGTGTTTTGCAGAGAATGAAATGAACACCATTAATAATGAGTGGCATTATTAGGAGCGGCAACCTTGTGCTGAGTCCTCCATAACCAGTCCCTGAGCATGGGTTGGGGGGAGGAAGGGTGGGACATGGAAGGCACATACCAGCAGGGGGCAAGGAGGCAGATGATAGGGAGCCATGGTAGCCTGGCCTAAAGGCAATGGAGCTTCTGAGCAAGAAGCCCTTAGCTTTCTTTCCCTCTCTGCCACTTGTTTATCCAGGAGCCCAGGTCTTCTTATCTGTGAAATGGGCATCGTAGTACCATTGAACTTCACTGAGCCCAGTGCTTCTGGAGAACAGTGAGGTATAAGAAATACCCAACTCTTTTGTGTTCCTGGAAGTGGCTCACTGCAAAAAACCACTCTTCCCCCATGCGCCTCGCTATGATGCAGAAACCTGCCTATTTACCTTTGACGGGACCAAATCCTCACTCTTTATTTATAAATGGTTAACTGAACTCTTTGTCCCCACTGGGGGACAATCTGGACAAAATGCTGGCTAATTTGACTTGACCAGACTTAGTCTGGCTTTTCACCTTCCCTGCCTAGCGCCTGAATTTTGACCCACTCCTGGGCGCTCAAGCAGGCACTAGAACTCAGAACAACCCCTGTTAACCATACTCCTGAAAGTCACCTGACTGTAAGGAGGACGGTTTCCTGTTCAATGGCCCCCTCTTGCGCCACCTGCTCACCCTGCTCCCCACACCCAGTTCTCTCTAGCCTTGTTTTACTTTCTCTACATAAAAATAATTCTTTCGTGCCTTCACTCTGAGGGGCTTGCAGATATGATAGCCAGAGTGTTCTCCCTATTGCAATAGTCTTGCAAATAAAGGCTCTCCCTACCTAAGTCTGGGTTTGCTTTTAGTTGAAAGTAGAATGTTTAATCCCACTTTGAATAATAAAAGGGAGGAGAGGGAAATATGCTTGAGAAAATTTATTATAATGATAATGACAGTGATATTAACCTTTTCCTTAATTTCCTTAGGACAGTTTTCCTTAATTTTTACATTTCCCCAAATACTGATTTATCCTTCTTTGCTGTGTCGCAGTCACACTCTTAAAATGTTATCTGTAATTCTAATTTCTTTTGTCGCTTCCTATCCTCTCTTCAACCCACTGTCAGCTGCCTTCTGCTTTCCCACACCCCTCTCTCCACTATTCCACCAAAAATCCTCTAACCATTGTTACCAGGGAGCACCTCCATGCCAAATCCAATAGACATTTCTACAACTTTATCTTGTTTTTTTTTTTTTAAACCTTTCTGGAGCTTTTGACACTGTTGGAAAAGAATCCATACCTGATACTCTTCCCTGTGGAGTATTTTATCCTGATTCACTTTTCTGGATCTCCTTCTCCTGCCACCCTTAAATGTTGATGATCCTAAGTTCTCCTGGCATTCTGCATGGTTCCTGGTAACCTTATCCCTTCTCTTCATATTGGTGATGTCTATATCCATAGTCCCATCCCATACTCACTGAACCCTGGACTGCTTTTTGAAGTACCTCCCCTGAAAGATCCCATTTTAAAACTCTATAACTGAGGGGCGCCTGGGTGGCTCAGTTGGTTAAGCGACTGCCTTCGGCTCAGGTCATGATCCTGGAGTCCTGGGATCGAGTCCTGCATCAGGCTCCTTGCTCAGCAGGGAGTCTGCTTCTCCCTCTGACCCTCCCCCCTCTCATGTGCTCTCTCTCATTCTCTCTCTTTCAAATAAATAAATCTTTAAAAAAAAAAATAAAAAAAACCCTCTAGAACTGAGCTCAGCCTCTCTACCTTATATTATATCCCTAAAATTCCATCCTTCTCCTATGTTTACTTATTCCATCTATTCATTCATACAGAAACTTTTATTGGATAGCTACCATGTGCTATCGATACTTAGTAAGTGCTAGAAATGAAGTGATACATAAGAAAGACACAGTGTCTGCCCTCTGGGAGCTTACGGGCTCTAATGAGAAAGACTGGCATAGAATAAATAATTACACACATATTTAATTATGAGTATTTGATTATGATTGTATGAGCACACTAATAAGAAGCAGAGGATTTTGTAAGTCAGATATCTGACATATTAAAGATATGCCCTTTTCCTTTATCCCCTATGGGTTCTGCCTCCCTGATATCTCACCAGTCCATTTCATAGGGTTCTCATGGAAGACCTGCTTCATTAGTTTAGGCCCTCCCTGAGATTGTTACAGCCACCTCGTAAACCTTCCTCCTGCCCCACCAAAATCCACCTTTCACACTGCCTCTGTGACAAATGTGATCACACAATGAAGCTGGTCTTCCCCAACCAAATCTCTGCACTGGTCAGTTCTAATTCTCCCTTTTTCCTGCTTAAAATCTTGTGCTAGTTTTGTATTTCCTTCTGGGTAAAACTTAGGTGTGCCATGCAGAGCCCCGTAAGTGTGGCCACTGTCTGTCCTCACCTTCCTCAGGGAAAAACTGCTTTCAAGCCACTCAGGTTCCACACATTTCCATGGATTGTCCCCCCCACCCCCATCTATAAGCCTTTGTATTCCTATCAGTACCTGTACCGGGGACCTTAATCAGCTTCAGAGAAGGCCAAGAGTGTATGACATTCCCACCACCACTGGGCATCTGCTTGAGGTCAGGTTCTACATCTTGGTCCTCTCTGCATTTCTGTTATAACGTCTGGTGCATGGCTGATGCTGAATAGCATATGTGTTTTTATAATGAATACAGTTACATTCAGCCCAGATTACACGAAAATGTTTCAATCACGGGGAAGTGTTTTCACCATTGTTTACCTACGAAGTCTCATGTTTAGGTTTGCGAAAGGCAACTATGATTCCTCCAGATTAATGGGAGGGCATAGGGGGAGTGTTATTTATAATTGTTCTCCAAATAAAAACATGAATGTGGTTATGTCTGATGCTGTCCAAGTTCCAGTTTAGTAAAGTCCCAATCAGAATTTACTTACTGCTTTTCCCCCACTTTGGTGTCTCTCTTCATCACCAGTCAGATCTCACCCTGAATGTTCTCAGGAGTAGGAAGAATGTCTTTGATTTTTTTTTTTTTTTTGGAAGGAGGTGGCACATGCTTTGGGGTTAGATTGAGATCACAGGATTCAAGAAATACACTTAATTATCATTCAGATCCCTATTTGATCAATGTTACTGAAAATGCTTTTATTTCTTCTTGAACATTTAGTATTCTGGTTATTATGTGTTGATCCCTATTCAACTAGAAGATCTATTTGGAGAGAGGACACGTAGTTCAGAGCTTTTTCAAAGAGTGATGACCCAGACTGCATGCACCTGACTTGTCTGGAAGGCTGGTTCAGATGGTAGGATTTAAGCCTTCACAACCAGACACACTGACTCAGAACCTCAGGCAGTGGGACATGGGAGTCTGTGTGCTCTTAAGATCTCCAGGTCATTTTGATGCATATAGAGTTATACTCCCACTGATAATGGAGTTTAGCTTCTTGATTCAGATAGTCTTGGGTTTAAATATTAGTAATACCATTTATTAGCTAAGTGACTTAGGGAAATTAAGAACTTTTCAAGCCGACTTCGCGGAGTCCTGGCTGCTACAGAGCACCCTGTCCCCCAGAGCCTACAGTGCCTGCATGCCAGGCGATACACCCCACACTCACGGCTAAGCTGGCTACCTTTCATCCCGACCATGCCCCCGTGTTTTAAGTTGTTGTTTCCACTTCTTTTACAGTAGTTTAGTCTAAAATAACTTAGCTCATTCATTTTTATAACCAAAACATCTGGGAAAAGCCCAGCATTTCTACTGCATTTTTAACAGGGTAAATGAATTTAATCTGTATTTCCTGCAGCTGCTGTTTCCCCTCCTGCTGGGTTCTCGGGCTTTCATTCCACACCAACACAACACAATTTCATCACAGGGTTTTTAAGAGGAAGCCTTATTTCCGTTTTCAAGCAGCTCAGTGGGGGATCCTGCAATTCTAAAAGGTGTGTAAGCACGAATGAGCTAGTGAGGTCTGTCAAGGTGACCTAGGGAGTTCAAGGCCAGACGCTGAGATCTGACAAATTCTCCAATAAAAAGATCCAGATCGCTTCTCACTTTTCCCACCTCTTCGTTGCCCAACTTGAATGAGCTTGCTCCTTTTGAAAAATGTCTTGGAGTAGCACTCCACAGTTGTGATATTATAAACATTGCTACCTCCTTTTATTGCTGAAATCATTTCTGGGAAAGGTTGGTCAAACAAGGTAAAAGCTAGACCCAGCCTGGTGATTTACTCACTGTCAGCTCCAATTGCCCATGCCCCTACTATGAATGCTTGCCACCACGGTGACCAGGGTCCTCTCCTGCCTTCTCAGGATGCCATTACTCTTTGCCATATATACCTGTGTAGTTATGAATTTTTTAACTGCGTCCATTATGTCCAGTGTTTATCTGTGTCAACATTTCCTCCTGACAGCATGAATTCCTTAGGGAAGGACTTGAGTTTGTGATCATCTTTGTACAGCGCCTAGCCACATACGAAAACTGGCTTTTATAAACTCTTTTGAATTGTGAACTGATTAGATTTGATTTTAGAAATGTTCTAGTCCAAGTATACAAACTAAAGTGACTTCAGGGACCAGGAAGTTAACATGAATATGTAAGAGGCAGGTTATAAGAACATTTGGGTACTTAAGGCTGAGTCTTCCTGAGTGCTGACTTCACCTAAAAGACTACACCATCAGGTATTCAGTAGAGGCTGTGGTCAGACCAAACATTTGTGATTCACATTCATCACATGGGTCATAGGATTGCAACTTCTGATCCGGAGGCTCTATGTCCAAATGGTTAGAAGCTCACAATTAGGTTAGAGCCCTACAACAGAGGTTCAACACTTGGTTCTGCCACTAACTGGTTATGTAATATGAAGCAAGTTGGCAAACCTCTGCGTACCTTAGTTTATTCCTCAGTAAAATGGGAATACTACTACCTCTGTTGTAGAATTATTTGGATTTTTACTGAAATAATACATTTAGATGACTTAGAATAGTGCTCAGATGTTAGCTATTTTTAGCAGTAGCCCAACCTCTTCAGTATTTTGGTGAGAAAATTGAAGCTCAGGGACACAGATACATCCTGCATCATATAGCTAACTTCTAGCAGAGTTCCTACTAGGACCCAGAACACTAAATTCCAGGTTGAGTATCCTTTCTGCTATTATCAGTGATTTTCAAATATTATTTTATTAGCGGCAGAACCTCCCTCACTTTTTACTCCCCAAATATCACGCAGAACTCCAGGATAAAACAGATTCAAGGGGTGCCGCTCTGGTTGAAAGAGAGCTGGAAGCCCAGAGCCCCGCCCACTGGCTCTGCCTCCCTGCCACCCTTCTCGAAATCCCTATGACTCTGAAGATCCTGAAGAGAAGTTTCACAACCACTACACTAAAAAGTTTGGAAATGTAAATGAAGATCTAAAGAAGGGATAAGCCCTGTCTTTGCGTGTGTGAGTTTCCTCTGGCAAGGCTGTCTGTCTCCGTCCGCGCTAACACTAACTTTCAGATATAAAAATAAAAAATGAAAGTGGATGAATCCCTTGAAGCCATGGAAAATGATACCCACCAAAGCCCCTTACACCCATCTTACTGTCATTTAGCAAGGAACAGAAATCACGAAGCTCTTAATTTATAGCCTTGGTCCGACACAGAATTGTTTAACATCGCCTGTAACTCAGGCTTTTTCTCCACCATTCATAAGTCATGGTAATTACTCTGGGTCCCCATGGGCAGAGGGATATGGAGATCTGCTGCCTTACAGGTGTTCTGTCTTCTTCCAGGACATGCACATCATCAGTACCGATGAGAACCAAGTGTTCGCAGCCGTCCAAGAATGGAACCAGAACGACACGTACAACCTCTACATCTCAGACATGCGTGGCATCTACTTCACCCTGGCCATGGAGAACATTAAGAGTAGCCGAGGTCTAATGGGAAACATTATTATTGAATTGTATGAGGTATGTAGCCAAGATGATCCTGCACCTGGGTCTGCCTCTCTTTTGGAGGAGTTTTAATGGGATAAACACGAGCATTGCAGTCAGCCAGTCCTGGGTTCAGATGGCAGCTGTATCCTTGCAATTGTGTGACTTCGGGCAAGGAACTTAGCTTCCCTGTGCCTCCATCTCCTCACCTGTGAAACAGGGATAAAATATTTGCCTAATGAGATGGTTGTGAGAATGAGAGAGAACATAAGTAAAGCATCTAGAGTGGTGGTTGACTCAGCAAACTTGAATAGATGGTGGCTGAAGTGAATGTTCTTTTGTGGATGAGCACGATTATGAGCCAGATGCCCAAGTATTTGACCTACGTGGGCTCGCTTAAGTCCCTTTTTCAACTCTACGGACTCTGAGTGGAGGCACGTATCTATTAGTATATCTTAAATTATTTGGAAAATAACATCTTATGAACAAGTTTTACAGGAAAAGAAAAGTGAATATCAGTGCTGGGGATAAGGGTTTCCCTAAAATGCCACCAGATGCCAACATCGGAGTATGGTGAAGAACTGACCTTGACTTACTTTGAGTTGTTATTTAATATGATCACCTTACTGAGTTTTCAGTTATATTGAGATTTTGTTTTTAAATGTGATCACCAGTTAAAGAATCAATTTATCTAGGAAACCAAGTGACTCCACAGAGGAACTAGAGAAAAATGAGTTGTTTCAGTGACCTTAAGCCTGGGTCACTTTTTATGTCTCTAATGGCCGCGTATGACCTTTGATGGTCCTGGCCACAGTGCTCACCTTGTTGGTATGATGGATTGATTTGAGTAAAGGGGTGTATTTCATTATCCAGCATTCACTAGTGACTGGTGGTCAAACCTACACCTGCTATGCTAGTGGAGGTCATTCATTCATGGAGGGAGGAGTTGTCTGTCATGAGCAGTAGCTTAAGATGGTGTGGGTGAGCTGCTCCCTTACGAGTTTTCATCTTTGAGGCATGGGAGCGGCTTTCAGAATAGAGAGATCAGTGTAGGGGCTCCTGGTTTATTGTGGTGTCTTCTGAGCAGTGCTTGGCAAAGTTCTAGCATCCCTACGCTGGTATCGAAGTTACTGAGAGTGGTAAAAGATTCTAGTTATTTTATTAGGTAAGAGGACTGCACGAAGATCTGGGGGTGAATAGAAGTACACTAAAAAAGAGAGAGAGAGAGAAGTGAATGGCACTGGGTGTAAAACAGAATCAGTAGAAATACCGTGATTTTCTAGGACATTGTTGACGAGTGCTGATTCCCTTAACAACAAGTTCCCCGTTTGAGAAATGGCCCAGATTTTTTCTTAGAATTACAAAAATTGGAAAAGATGACTAAGGTGTGTAAAGGGCTTTGGGAAGCTTACCTTTACATGCCTCTAATCATACCTGGAGGCAAAAATACCCTTTGTTATTGGGCAGTAAGTCATCTCTGGTGGGAAGGTTTAGATGAAATATTCCTAGGACTGAGGCCATTGGAACCAGGTTCCTGTTCGCATAAGTGAGGCTATAGAGATGGGACGATTATTCATACTCCTGTGGTCAGACCTCAGTAGGACAGGGTAGACATTGCTGCAGATGACCTTCCAATTGAGAAATCCCTGTGTCTCTGACCCTATCGATAAGGCAGGTGAGTTTGGTACTGTGCTGTTCTTTTTGTAATAAAGAGCACCTTGGTCATTGTGAATAGTGAGACACTCTGATCTGAAGTGGAGCATGGATCAAAATGAAGAATATGCCTAGATATATGTATTTTTTGGTCTTGCTGAAGTCAGTCATGCATTTTTGGTCTTTTGGGGGGAAAATGCATGGTGTCATTCCATGTATACAGAAGCAAGACATACAAGGCCAGGCAACTTCTCTAAAACCAGTTGTGTTGAGTTTGTTCTCATTTAATTTTATCCGGGTTCATTGGGATCCTGCTTTGTGTTAAAGTCCATGAGGAAGGCAGAAGAGATACCGATTCTTACCCTCTGGAAGCTTGCAACCTAGTTTGTTGGGCTCTGAAGAAGTCTGTGAACAAAGTTCCTTTTTTTACCTGCCCAGACTGTAGTCAGTTGAAACAGAGACAAAGGGTGAGACAAGTGGAGATCAAATGTCAGCTTTATTGCTTTTAAAAGTTATGTAGGAGCAAGTGGGCTTGCTAATACTGCCTGCCAGACCTGGATGCACCCATCTAGTCACATGCACAAATAGTAAATCAGAAGCTCTCTTGTGGAAGCCTCTTCCTAGAACACCACGGCAGTGAGGTACAGAGAATGTGATCTTTGCAGGCAAATCCCCAAAATAGTGGACCTGGGGATGAGCTGTATATGCCCAGTTCTTTTTTTGCAATGTTACCAATCTGATTATCATCTTTTTGCCCTGCAGAGGAAGAAGTGGAAGACATTCCATATTTTAAGACCTGCATGAGTCAATAACTAGGTGGATGGTGTAGATTTATAAGACCATGAGCTAGCCAATCTAATTGCATCAAATAGATGCTCATCAGGTACAAGAATTAGTGCCAGATAGGTGGTTGGAGTTTAGATTCTAGAAGGCATTTAATACCAAGAGAATAAATCGTATCCGGACACTATCTAGACCATGACCATATTGAAGGCTTTTAGAGGGTGTTGCTGTTTTGTACCTGGAGATGCATTCTGTGATTTGGAGATAAAGCTGAATTTAATTGGTCTCTAGGGGTCATTAGTTTTTAACCTCCTTCACTGGAGATTCTCATAGAAACTGAGATTGTGTGCCATATGGCCAGTTAGCAAAGAGACTATAATTTTTCTGGACTCTGAATGCCCTTGAGTAATGCATCTGGGAAAACTAGGAGGCTTTCACATTCAATTCAACTAAATTAATGCACTTTCATACAGTATATTTTGTTTGATGAGATGAAGGTGGTGCATGAGACTCACAATCTACTGGAAAGATACATGACCCTATTAGGGTAGTTAGTGATCACAAACTAACTTGTATTAAAGCTGTGATTTTCCATGTTGTAGAATCACTAAAGAGGAAGGTTAAATCTAACTTGAGGAATTTGGGGGGACTTGGAGATGAGTTGGCTTAAAGGATGAATTACTGGAGCTTGGAAGAAAGGCATGTCTGGTGGAATTCCAGCATGAGATGAGAACCAGAGTCTGATGAGTAGATGCCCATTTTCATGGAATGTTGAGTGACTTTGGGGAACAGTGGGGATAAATATTGCAAAGATACTAGTAAAGAGCTGAATTGAAGAGTTGGGCATTTATTTGATGGGCAAATTTTTCTCTCTGTTTTTCCCCTACATCTACATACCTAAAAATGATATTTGGATGTATGATGCAGTCTCCTATGCCAAGTTAATGTATAACTTTATATTATGATGTGTTAGGATATTACACCTATTTAACCTTGTCTGAAATGTCAGAGATGCCTTTAGGTAACACAGCTGTGAGTTGGCTTGGGATGAGCATAGCCACTTACATCTATTTACTAGTGTATCACTCCATCTTGCATTTTGCACTCCTCTCAGGCTTCTTCTTGACCATGGGAAGGGGACAAAGAAAATGAGAACTTACTTGAGAATTCACCCTGTAGGTCTTGGCACTAAAAGACCTTGGAAGCCAGTGGGTGGGAATCCACCCCCTCTGAACTCCCTAAAACTGAATAAAGCAGAGACATTGTTTTTTTCTTGGTCTGTTGGAGCAGTCTCCCTCTGTAGAGAGTCTCTTCTCATTCTTCCTTTAATCCATGCTTCCAAGTACAATATTGTCATGGCTGTAATTACATAATCAGGTGAGAAAGTAATTCTTAAAGGCCAAATAACAATTTCTTTTTTAAGGTGTCAGAGCCTGTTCCATCAAAACAAGTCTGATGATGACAATGAATATAATCTATTATGTGTGTTCACCATTATTCTGTGATACTCTTTTCACGTAGAGCTTTGTTGTGGTTTCTTCACATCACTAACTCCAAACTACATTTCTTCTTAGTTGCTTTCCACTGATAAATCAAGAAACAAATATTCTTTCCAACACCCTCAGTTATATTATGGAAACATTGCTCTGAGCTGCGGGTTGGATGCATTTTCTTCAATATTTTCCTGGATGTAAAACATCCAACTCATACCTCATTATAATAATAACAACAGCATACCAGGTAATTTCTAAAACCGGTATTGTTGAAGAATATATTATGTCGGCTACAGATGCACTTCTAAATGTTCTGCCACCCACATTTTTTAAAGTAAAAGAAACAGGTGAAATTAATTATAATAATATATTTTATTTAACCAAAATACCTAAAATATTATCATTTTAGTATGTGCACCATTTGAAAGATTACTAATGAGATATTTTATATTTTTCCATACTAAATCTCCAAAATTCTGAGTGTATTTTACACTTCCCCCATATCTCAATTCATATGCTAAATTTTCACCAGAGATACTTGATCAGTATTTACATTTCATAAAATGTGCAGTCGAAAAAGTAGATTCACATACCCAAGTTATTCCAAACATACTTAAAAGTTTGCCAATAACAGAATTGGGTGTTGGTTTTTAAAGATTTTATTTATTTATTTGAGACAGAGAATGAGAGAGAGAGAGAGCACATGAGAGGGGGGAGGGTCAGAGGGAGAAGCAGGCTCCCTGCCGAGCAGGGAGCCCGATGCGGGACTCGATCCAGGGACTCCAGGATCATGACCTGAGCCGAAAGCAGTTGCTTAACCAACTGAGCCACCCAGGCGCCCGGGTGTTGGTTTTTAAATTGAAGTTCAACTTGGTTCAAATAAAATACAGTTAAACTTCAGCTCCTTAGTCCTACTGGCCACATTTCAAGTGCTCAGTAGCCATATGTGGCTAGTGGCCATAGTACTGGTTTGCATAACCCTAAATTATATATATATATATATAATTAATTAATTAATTGATTTATCTATCTATCTATCTATTGCTATATCTCTTTGTGGTAGGTATCATTCCCCCTGGTGCCTATGAGAGTACAGAGGTGCAGAGAATTTAGTAACTTGGCTCAGATCACACAGATAGTAAAATGGTAGAGCTATGTTTGAACCAGTCCATGTATATTTGAATAAAAAGGCCAGGCTCTCCCCACTATGCATTTTTTTCACATTTATTATTTTTTTTATTGAGGTCTAATTTATGTATAGTAAAATTTACCCGTTTTGGTATGCAGTTCTGTGAGTTTTGATAGGGGTATGCGGTTGTGTAACTACCACCATAATCAAGATAGAGGACTGTCACCCCAAAATATTTCCTTGATGGCCTTTTTGTAGCCAACCATTCTCCCACCCCAAATCACTGGCAGACCAGTCTGATTTCTTTCTCTCTCCTGTTTTGCCTTTTCTGGATTTTCATGTGATTGGAATTATACAGTAGATAGTCTTTTGAGTTTGGCCTCTTTTACTTAGAATCATGCATTTGAGAATCACCAATGTTGTTGAATATCAGTAGACGTTCCTTTTTTTTTTTTTTTTAATTTCTGAGTAGTATTCCATTATGTGGATGTGCCCTAGTTTGTTTATTCATTCACCAGTTGAAAGACATTAAAGTTGTTTCCAGTTCTATGTGGTAATGAATAAAACTTCTATAAACATTCATGTAAACATAAGTTTTTCTTTCTCATGGGTGAATACCTAGGAGTAGGATTGCTGGGTTGAATGTGATAGAATATGATTATAAAAAGCCACCAACCTGTTTCTAAAGTGGTATTCTCATTTTGCATCCCCACCTGAGATGTAAGAGTTCTGGTTGCTTCACATCTTCACTGACACTTGGCATGATCAGGTGTGTGTGGGGGGTGGGGGGGGGCACTGTGAGAGGAGCCTAGTAGTACCTTAGTGTGGGTTTTATTTGAATTTCCTAATGACTATGTGGAACTCACTAGGATGGATAAAATGAGACTCTCTGAGTCATCTTAAGTGTTCTGCTTTCTTTGCCCATCTTATTGATGTTCCCTTGCTTTCCCTGTCCCTTGTGCCTGCTCCCCACCATTGCTTTATCATGAACTTGAGTGACCCATCTTTGGCCAGATGGACAGCTGCTTATAGACTCCACAGGCACATCTTTCCCCGCCTTACCTTCATCGGTCCCTCACCACCAGTCCCACTCTAGGGACAGCCCAAGGCAGACCATGGTAATTGCTTTTCTCAGCAGAGCCCTGGTTTCCTTGTCCTAAGGGCCCAGGGAGGTGAGCAACAGATGCCCATAGCACCTGGACTCAGTGCTCTGCCAAGAGGCTGCTGTCAGTTCCCCTTCGTACCTCAAATTGATTCCCAGAAGGAAAGTGGGCCACACAGGCTTGTACGTGTACTGCCATCTTCTGTGGACATCATCCCAAGCTGGTGCCCTTCTCTTTGAATTCTGGGACCGGCAGCTGCAAGCCATGCTTCTGATTTTAAACAACAGTGGGAGGAAACATGGTCAGAGTTTATCAGATGCCAAGTACCTCCTTGGGTGTCTCATTCTCTCATTCCTTTATATCGTATGTAGTGAGGCTCAGTAGTGTTTCGTGATACTTTTGCGTCAGAGACATACATGTGCCTACATGTGCGCACATGCATGTGTACATGGGTATGAGTCCTAGGCTGTAGCATACATGCATTTTGTACTGGGGTTGCAGTCAAAAAGTTTGAAAGCTGTTGGCCTAGGGCACACAGAAGCAAAGTGCCCTCTAAACTTATAGGCTATTTATACACGATTTAGAGCCAAGAAGCAATTCAGGATTAATGTAAGGGTTTTGAGCAATCCAAATAAAAATCAGAAGTGTTCTGATTCTTTCAGACTGGAGGGAGATAGCTCATATTCAACTATAGGAGAAAGTCCTTCAGAGCTGCAGATGGCTTCCCTGGAAATCTCTCCTTCCTGTGTCTTTTCAGACCCCATTCTCCAGATTCTGCTCTCAGAATATGTAGGGAATGCAAAAAATGCCCATTCGAGTGGTGGGGTGCTCAGTGAGAAAATGTGGTAGTGACCATTCCGTTTTCCAAAGACACTCATCCAGAAGAACCCAAGAGGCAACTGAATGGCTAGTAATTCATGCTGTGATGCATTCAGCTAGGAGGCAGTGGATGGGGGTGACAAGAGCTCCACAGGAGCAGGCTCAGAAATCTAAGTCGGACTTGTAAATTTCTCCAGGGAGGTAGACACCAAGGCCCTGGGCACATGTTGGAGGGGACCAGCTGGCTTACAGGAGAGAGTTCTCTAGAATCATTATCTGGTGGTCCAACAGAAAAAGTACCAGCTCCATGGCTAAAGAAAATACCAAAAGGCCTCCATCAGACAGATGGTTCTATCCATTCTCTGTGAGGAATAAATTGGTAGTCAGGTTTAAGAGAAACACTTTTGCTGTTGGTTTTTAAAGACTGAGGTGATAGGAGAGCCTCAGAGCCCCTAGATGAGCATAGAAGATGCCAGTCTTCCCAAAATGGCAGTGACTTTAAGCAGCTAGGGCAGGGAGGGTTTGTCCGGTAAGGACAGAACTCTGACACCAGTGTCCCTCCTCCCACCTTGGCTTCTGTCCGTACCCACCCTCTGTTCAGGTTAGGAATTTAATCATTCCTTTTTTGGCCATTTGTCAAATTCCCCTGGTGGTGTCCTTCCCAGATAAATTCTGTTCTCCTCTTGACATTCTTTGTCCATTTTTTGTTTGTTTTTATCTGCATTGGCATTCTTTTTCAAGGGCAGTCCGGTTACTTTAAAAAAAAAAAAAAGCAAAAACAAACTTATTTCACCTACTAAATTATGTCATTAAAAAAATAAAAGAGCTCACTTCTATGAAATTCTTTCCCACTGGTATTCTCTCAGTTAACCATGATCCTCAAAGAATGGGGAATAAATACACTTAAAATTCTGAGCTATCTCTTTCCAGAAAACCTATCATTCAACCTCATGTTTATATACATTTAAATGAGTTGACTTGCCCTTTGGCTTTGGAACATGCTGAGATTGTACAGGAAGTTAGGGAATCTTTCTTTGAGATACTGTTGTCATTCAGAATATCTGTTCTTATTGCCCAAAATGTAGACATGGAAGGAATAAAAGTTTGAGTTGAATCTGACTTACTCTAGAACATTTCTGAATCATAAATTTCTTTTAATTCTCTAGTTTCTTGTTTTGTGGCGATGATCTTCTCCCTTCTTAATATCAAGGGTATGCAAATTCCAGTAGATCAGGAACTCTGGCAAGAGTGCTCTGCATTATCTCATGTATCCATGCTTAGCCAGCTGAGGAAAAAGAGGAAGGGCAGAGTTGATTTTGTCTATTTCAAAGTGACCATTGGCTGAGACCCAAAGGTGACATGGAAATTATGCAGGATCACACAAAGATGGATGCCAGGTCACCAAGCTGGGTCGTCTGCCTGAAAATATCTGCCTCACTACTAATCAGGAGGCTAAACTTCCAGCCTTAAGGACTATACCTTAATGCTTTCAAAATCTGCCTACAAGCTCCTCCTGAGCCAAAGTACATGTTCCACAGAAGGGGTAACCCCTTTGGTTGTTATCAACCACTGCCACCTCAGAGGGAATGTTAATTGTTAATCAAGGATAAGATCCTATGAACAGAATGCAGAAACACGTAAAGTGGGAAAAGCACATGGGTAAAAGGGCAGTGGGATATCTGGGTCAGGGGCAGGTGGTAGAGGGTGAAGAGATGAACTTAAAGTTCTCCCAAAGACCACATGGTATATGGCATTTCTCACTATGTTCCTCCTCTTCTCTTCTTTTATACCCCCAACACCCTGTGGGAGGTGCTGGGGCTTCTCCCAGGGCTTCTCCAAGATTATCAGCATTTGGCCCAACATGGTTCTCCATCTCTTGCCCTTTTTCCTAGGTAGCAGGTATCAAAGGGATATTCTTGGCAAACAAGAAAGTGGATGACCAGGTGAAGACATACATCACTTACAACAAGGGCAGAGACTGGCGCCTACTTCAAGCCCCAGATGTGGACCTGCGTGGAAGTCCAGTACACTGCTTGCTGGTCAGTCACCCCATCTCACATGAAGTCCACAGGGCAAGCTGGTCACCTGGGGATGTCCCATCAGGGGCTTTCTTCCAGTAAGGGGTCTTAGGAACTTGGCTGGTGCCGGGCAGGCATTTCCCACAACCCCCAGGGCGATGATCTCCGGGCTCAGACTGCCATACCACTTGGATGGAAAGCTCAGTTGAAACTCACGGGCTTGTACTGAGAATACATTATGTACTCCAACTCTTAGTAAGATAAAGACATGTTTAAGAGACAGTGCCTGCATTCCAGGGTCCCAGACAGGGCTCAGGAGTAGAAACACACCTGCTAACTGCTACTGATATGATTCAGTTTGATAAGTGCTTGATAGATATCAAGGTAAGCAAAAGTTGCCTTGCCAGCCCAGGAGAGGTCAGGCTGGTGTGTCCACATGGGACAGTGGTTACTCTGTCAGCATTCCCAGGGTGTGCCAGGTGTATGGAATATTGGGGTAGGCACTCTGGAGGACATGATGCATAAGAAGTTTTCTCTGCCCTCAGATGTGTCAGCTCTAGGTGGGGAGGGAAGGCAGATCATTAACAGTGAAATTCATGGACCCTCTGTGGTGTCTTAGGAAGGACCTGTGTGAGCAACTCTTCCAAGGCCTCGGAAATGGTTATGTTTCTCTCAGCAAAAAGTTGCCTTTTGCCATTGTTAAAAAGGTTTATTACCAACTTTCCACATTGTAGACATTATGTTAATAATAACTGAGGATATGGGGGCGGACAGGGACTTTCCTTTTTTTTTTGTAGATTTCAGTCTAACCCCCTCTTTTCAGCTGGGGTTCCAGGCAGATCAGAGTCAAATGCGCACCCACCTAGGAGCTGGTCATAGTGTGAGTTTTCTTTTTTCCTAAGCCTTACCCATGGCTTTATCTTATTTTCCTAACCTAATTTTCTCCTTTCCCCAATTTCATCATTCTCTTGTTTTTATTTATTATATAGGATACCTATCTATAAATCCCTCATCCTTTTTCAGAACACCTAAAAAAGGACAAATGAGTAAATAACTTTCCATTAGTTTTAGACAGTGTCTTCAAACATTTTAGGTAAAACTGAAGTAACATTATAAACAGGAATCAAATAATGTGAAGGAGAAACAGAAACAATCTGGTTGAAGAAGAGGGTAGAGGGCCTGGAGACTGCTTCACTTAGCTTCCCCTCTGCATCCCTCCCGGTGGCTGCCTCCAGCTCTAAAAAGCAGGATGTGATGGTCAAGATCAGAAACAGGGGGAGGTCAGGATCATTCTGTGGGAGGGAATGGTCGGGGAGGCTTCCTAAGGCTGACCGTGGACTGGACTTTGATGGATGGGACATGGATGAGGAAGGGAGGGGAGGCCTGCAGTTGTGATGGGGGCACCTTCTGATATGAACATACTAGCTGCCTCAGGCAGAAATGTCTCCTGCCCAAATCTTAGGGTGCGACTGTTTCTGGAAGCCTTATCTCTGGTGGGGCAGGGGTATGTGTCAGAAGTTTGCCGGAATGAAGCTGTTTTCTTCTCCATTTTAGCCCTTCTGCTCCTTACACCTGCACTTGCAGATCTCTGAAAATCCGTATTCCTCAGGAAGAATTTCTAGCAAAGAGACAGCCCCGGGACTCGTGGTGGCTACAGGTAAGAAAGACATTCCCTGTGCTTCTTCGTCCCTGACAGCTTCTGGAATATTTATCACCTTTTTGGACTCATTTGAGCATTTGGATGAAAGTGATGGGCACTCCCCCCAGAAAATAGGCAGGGTTATGGAACCAGTCTCATGACCCAGGAAAAGAGCTCCAGACACTTGTAACTTCTAGGTTACTGCGCATCCCACACAGTCACAGAGCTGTTCCCTGTGCTTAGCAAGAGGCCAGAGTTCCTCTCAAAGTAAACTGACTGATCAGAAAGCTTGTTTGTCATAGGGAATTCTCACTTTAAGACACCTTTGATATATGAACTTCCCAGCTCACCAAATATAAGTTGGGGCAATTTTCTCTTTACACAGAGAATTCTTTGCAAAGGCTTTCACCCCAGAGCTGTTTTTAATCAGGAGGTCTCTGGTGCATGTAAAGGTTTGTTTACACATGATTAACCACTTGGCCGAGAGTCTGGGGGAAAGGGCAAAAAAACCCCTAAGGTTGCATTGTTGGAACCACTGTCCACTGATCATCAATCAGAAATGAAGATAAAGCAACTCTGAAATGAAAATGAAAGTCTCTGGGGAATGTGCTCTGATTAGCATGCGTTTGATTTACATGTACCTTTCAGGAATACATTGATGCCATAAAGCAAGGCAGGCTTCTAATCTCCGAAGTTAGAGTTCTGGTGTTAGGCTTTTCTCTAATGAAAGCAGATAAATTCACAGTGACTTCCTGAGATGGCACATTTTGTCTTGTCTCATCAACCTGAACCTCTGGCTCCTGGTCACTGCTCTCCTAGACACGACTTCCTTCTCCATGCCCCCAGCTGCAGGAACTTTGAAACACCATCGGTGACTGACCACGTGGATCAGATTTGCAGCGAGAGTAGTTCTCGAGCATTCCAGGCCATTTCTCTCAACCCCGTAGGGATTGAATCCCTGTATGGAACACCACTGGCTTCAGGACAGGCTTCAGTCCAGGTTAGCGAGCGACGAGGCTCTGTTGCTGTTCTGGCTTGGGGAGTGATCCCCACACTCCCTAAGCCTTGTGGGTTAGACCTCCCAACTCAGGGACTGCAGCACTCTCTGCCTCTCCTCCAGGCCTGCTGGACACCCTGGCTTGGAATAGAAGCAACATGGAAAACAGTAATCAAAAAAAAAAAAAGAAAAGAAAGAAAGAAAAGAAAACAGTAATCAATAATAAAAGTTAATATTATTTAGTATGCCAACTACATAGCCAGGCATTGTCCTATGTGACTTAACCACTCTGAACTTCAGTATTTTTATTGGCAAAGTGGGGTTGACAGTATTGACATAACAGAATTGAAGGATTAAATGAAGAACTAGATTTAAGGTGCTCGGACAGTGCCTGGGACATACTGAATGCTCAATACACATTAGCTCTTATCATCAGTAATATTACAGAAATTTAACCCTGGTCTTGTATCAGAAGACTGTGATTTGTGCATCTCCTTCAACAGAATCCATAAATCATATGCATACACTAGGCCTACGATGACTGAATGAATATACTCAGGAATGCTGGTGTCCTGCTTTCTGAGCTGAGCTCTGACACTAGCCTTGTGAATTTGGCTTAGTTCTTCAACCACTGGGCTTTGTTTTCATTTATAAAACAGGTTTCTTTTTTTCCTACCTTGTGGGAGTTTGTAAAAATTAGGGCTAGAAGAGTATGTCCACAAGATCCAGCAGGGTGCTCAGAGCATAGTGAGGTGGGATTAGTTGTAGATTTTGCCTGTGACCATTGTGTGCCGCTAAATTAGTCGCATGTTAAGCCTTTATAAATTAACAAACATGGACACATTAAAGATGGTTTTTATTTTATTTTATTTATTTATTAGAGAGAGAGAGCAAGAGCAAGGAGGAGGGGCAGAGGGAGAGGGAGAATCAGACTCCCCACTGAACAGGAAGCCCGACGTGGGGCTCGATCCCAGGACCCCGGGATCATGACCTGAGCCAAAGTCAGACACTTAACCAACTGAGCCACCCAGGCGCCCCAAAGATTTGTTTTTGAAAGGGTTTTGTCCGTAGACACTTGACCCTTGAACAACATGGGGCTTAAGGGTACCGATCCCCACATAGTCGAAAATCCACATATAACATGTGAGTCCCTGAAACTCTACTACTAATAACCTACTGTTGACCAGAAGCCTTACCAATAATATAAATAGTCGATTAACATGTATTTTATATGTTATATGTACTGTATTCTGTATTCTTACAATCAAGTAGGCTAGAGGAAAGAAAATGTTATTAAGAAAATCATGAGGAAGAGAAAATACATTTACAGTGCTATACTGTGTTTACTGGAAAAAAAAAAAAAATCACAAGTGGACCTGCACAGTTCAAATTCATGTTGTTCAAGGGTCAACTGAATATCAGAATTTACTAATGCTCTTTTCCTCTCCCCTTTGTAACATTTATAACTTTGTATGGCTCCTTGCCATACAAATGGCCCTGGGACGTTGGGAGGGATGTAACACAGCTGAACAGATCCCGACAGAAAGCCAGCCCTGGGTCATGGACACATGCCTCCTCATGCCCAGCTTCTCCTTACTGTGCTTGTCTGCTATCCCTGGGAGGTTGTTGGCTGTCAGGAAAATAATTACGAAGTCAGCCATGGATGTCTTCAGTGGCTGGCATGGAGCCTGTCTCTCCAGGGCTCTTTTGCACATCCTGTCATTTCACCTGCCTCTGGGTGTCTGTGACCCTGGGCTCCCTCCCGTCTGCTCCCGCTGCTCACCGCCTCTTCCCCTTCGCTCTGAGGTGTGGGCTCAGGGGAGCTGTGTGGAGGCCAGGAGCCATCTCTAACTCCAGTGGAAGCCGTCTCAGAAGGCAGATGGCATTCCAGTCTGGAGAGTTTGACAATTGCCCGTAGCCAGCAGGTACGCCAGGGTCCTAAATATTCTTACCACTGTGCTTTCAAGCCTACGCGTCAAGACCCCCGGTCTTCACGGTGCCTCACGGTGTGCAAAGCATTCTCGTGCTTCAACTGCACGGCAGCTCTGTGATGCGGAAAAGGTGATGCGTCTTCTCCTCAGTTTACAGATGAGGTGATGCAGGAGGAAGAGGAAGAGGTCTCAGGCCCACACCGACACGCACTCTGGCTCTAGTTCTCTTCTGTCCAGCCAGAACTAGTCCTGAGCCCCCTCACGTGCTGGCTGCATGCTACCCCCCGGCTCCGTACCAGGCTTCCTAGAAACTGAAGCTCCATGGAGGCACGTTCCTCCCTGCAGTGCATTGTGCACTGTCTGCTTCCTTTTTCACTGAGCCCTTAATCCTCTGAATGGGCATCTGGGCTGGTGAGAGAAGCATCTCTTACTCCAGAGGACTACAGAATTCTCTCCCTCTCTTTATGTCTTTTTTTTTTTTCTTTCTTTTTTTTGCACAAGTGTTTAAGAAGTAAAGAAAGGTAGCCCTGGGAGGAAATGGGAGTTTTTACAAGTTGTTTAAAGCTGCCAAAAAGGGCAGTGGAACCTTCAGGATTTACCAGCTAAGCCATTGGTGAGAGAAACTCTGTGTTCCTCTGTGTGTCTCTCCTTCCTCTCTCCCATTGCACCACTTCAGTGGGGAACATCAGTAGGGAATAGCTACATCTTCTTCCAACCTGACCAGAGACCACTTTGGGGAGCCTCCTGGTTTCACTTTGCCAGTGAGGCATTTTCTTCAAGTCTTCCTTTTCTGACACCAGAACCAAATTATTCCTATCAGAGATTCCCCATGGGGCCACTTAGGAACTGCCCATGTTCTTAGATCCAACTGTCCTGGATACAGCTTTTCCCGTCCCTTCCTCTGGGAATGAACTTTCTGGTTCCTGCTGTCAGCAGCATTTCTTTCAGGACTCCTTTCAGTTGACCTAAGATATTTCCAAAAACAGACTTCGCTTATGAGCCTTGGATTCTCATCACCACAACACCTCTAAAATCAGTCTGGTGGAACTTTGAAAGAGGGGCTTAGATAGTTGACAGAACCAGCTCCTACAGAGGGTATGAGATGATGAGAGAGACCCTAAGAAGCCATGACGGGGACAGCAGATTCCAGGTCAAGGGTGACTCTGCACCTGCCTCCGTCTCTCGCTCTCGACCACCTTGGTAGACATGACTGATTGATTACCATGCTCTGTTCTTTTGAAACCAAATCTGGCTTCAGAATCCTTCTTAGCAGGCAACCATCACCAAATGATTGGAGTTGACATTCTCTGTCCCATCCCTCTTTTCTTTCTTCATCTGTGTCTTCCAAAAACCCTATCTGGAGAGTTGAATTCCAGATTCCAGAAAGATCTCCACAGAGCTGCTCACTGTGCCTCTCCCTACCCCTCTCGCACCTACTGCCTGAGCTGTGAGTCCCAGGGTTATTTTTGGAAGCCTGAGTGTCAAAACAAGTTGGCTAGCTGTGTATGCCCTGGTGCTGATGGGAGCTTGACAAGCTGTATCCTGGCTTTAATTTCTCATTTTGAAGCATTAAATGTCAGGAGCTCAATTAACATTTTCATTATTGCATTTTTATTGTGCTCTTATTTAGGCTACAGATGTGTGGGAGCTAACATTCCCTTCTTGCTATTTTTAAAGAAAAAAATATCAGCCAAAATGATAAATTCTTACATCTTTAGGGTACTTTCCTGGTTCTTGATACCTCCCCAGATGCACATCAACATCGGAACATGACTTAATCATTTGTTGACTCATTCATCCATTCCACAATTATTTATTGAGCAATTAACTACTACATTTGGGGCACTCTTCTGGGCTCTGAGGTGGGGGGTACCCATTGGGGATCCTTGGGCAACATAGGTAGAATAGAAAATCTTGATCACTGCCTTTTTTAATGAACATAACCACAAGGTGATGATGTGCAAGGGGAAGAAAAAGAATGGGAAAGAAAGAATGAAGGGGTGATGGGATAGAGGCAGTTAAGAGTGGCACAAACCAGATGCCTTCTTTTCCTGCCCTACTTGATGGCCATGATCTGCTGAGTACGGTCATTTTATTCTGGGCACCCTGTAAACTTGGTTACGTAGTCTATAATATTGGGTCATTCAGCTGCTTGGCATTCAAGGGACAAGTGGACATGTTTAAGTTGGATGCACACTCACATGTATACACATGGACACACACACACACACACACACACAGGTTTTCCTTAGGCTACAATTATACATGAGGAGGAAGTTGTCCTTAGGCCCAGCTTCTGCACGAATGTCTACTGTTCCACTCTTTGCCACCTTCAGGAGCACCTATCATGATCAATTTTAGGAGACTGTTGGTAACAGCATGAATACTTCAAGAGATCCAAGCTCATTAATATCGAGTCTTTGATTCTTACCATTTAAAGATGCATTCCTGTCATATTATTTACTTTGGTTCCCGTATTGTTTTTTTCTTCTTGCTGGGTTTTTGATATGATACCAAGAAAGTACTACACACATCAACTTTATTTTTATTTATTTTTAAAGGAATTTTTAAAAGTTAATTAATCATTGTTTTTAGTAATCTCTGCCCCCAATGGGGGGCTCAAACTCATGACCCCGAGATCAAGAGTCGCATGCTCTTCTGACTGAGCCAACCAGGCACTCCACGTCAACTTTAAACATAACTTGGAAAACCTTTACTCTCTGCTGCCTTCCCCCCCAGTCCCAAATCTGCAAACAATTACAAACGATCTGCTTATGTTTCAGGCAACATTGGCCCGGAGCTCTCATATACTGATATTGGTGTGTTCATCTCTTCTGATGGGGGCAACACATGGAGACAGGTAACTGGGAAAATCGGGGACAGGGAAGAGGCATTTAGGGCCATTTCTGCCCTCTCTTTTTCCTATAGATTCTCAGGCTCAGTATGAGTGGTTGCAAAAAAAAACGTGGAAGCAACTGTTCAGTTTGGTCCATTTTGGCTGACAGATGAGCAGTGGGGTAAAATGGAAGCATTGGGTAAGGAATAGGAAGAACCAGAATTTTCCCATTTTTTCCATTCTTTCATTCAGCAGTAAGTATGGGACGGCCACTGGATGCTAAGTACTCTGCTGGTTTCTGGGGATACAACTGATGAAATTGTTCTTATCATTAATGTGCCATGGGATCTGGGCAGATAGGTCTCTTTACCTTGCTGGATCTGTTTCTTTATCTACAAGATGAGCAGGTTAGAATACTAAAAGCACAAAGCTGTGGAAGTCTCTGGTGGGTTAAGTATTATGTAGGCCCAGCCTTAAGTAAGTATGAAGCAGATTAATAGATACATCACTACATGAAAAATTAATTCAATTTTACAAACATTTGTAGCACACTGTCCAATAGAACTTTCTGCAAAGATGGAAATGTTCTCTGTCTGTGCCATCCCATGTGGCTATTGAATACTTGAAATGTGGCTAGTGTGACAGAGGAACTGAATTTTTTATTTTATTTTAATCAATTTAAATCGTCTCATGTGGCCACTGTATTGAACAACACAGATGGATACAATGTCAGCTAGGTGTCAAGTACAAACCTGAGGAGGCAGTTGAATATTTTGGAGTCCTTTTCCTCAAGGAGTTCAAAATTAAGTAGAGAAAACAGCTTCATAAATAACTAACTGTAGTTTAGAGTGATTTTTTTTTAAGAGAGAGAGAAAGCACCCATGAGTAGTGGGCAGGGGCAGAGGGAGAGGGAGAGAATCTTAAGAATTGTAAGAGAATCTTACATGGGGCTTGATCTCACGACCCTGAGATGGTGACCTGAGACGGAATCAAGAGTCAGATGCTTAACTGAGCCACCCAGGTGCCCCTGATTGTATTTTAGTAGCATTTTTAGCCTGCAGGGCAAAGGGAGGAATTGCTTCTACTGGGAGAAACTGGGAAAGATTTCACAAGAAGAGTTGACATTTTACTAAGTCTTAAAGGTGAAAGGTTTTCACCTGAGGAAGATGAAGGAGGAACACTGAACGTCTTGATGTAGGTGCAGCCACCATCTGCAATCTAGTTGGACAAGTTCCAACTTGGATCCCTATATGAAGCTGTCATCACCATCACCAGCATCACCATCACCACCCCCATTGCCACCACGGTCACCACTACCACTATCAAAAGAAAAATTTACCAAGAACCCACCAGATGCAACCAGCTATTTTAATTAAGTACTATAAGGCATACAACAAAGAATAAGGTTCCTACCCACAAGGCCATAATTAGGTAGATGAGAAGCAGATACATAATTCAGAACATATCTTCAGAATAAAAGATAATCTCTTTTAAGTGTCAAATGAGGATGGAAACTAGAACTTCAACTCTTCTGGGACAGAAACTCCTAGCAACAAACCATTGTCCCTCCAACTCAAGAAATAGCTCACCTGGCTGGGTGGCCACTGCAACATTCCTTCCTTGTGTTGTTACTACTTTGGTTTTCTCTTTCTTTTTCCAAATAGCTAAGGATTCCAGTTTCCACTCCAGTGTTGGACAGGGCAATTGTTAGCAGTGGCCAGAGTGATAGAGAAGAAAGTGAAAAGATAATGGTGTCTCTCTCTCCCCCATGCCAAGAATCTTGTACCCCTCATCCTTAGACTTCATTTCAGCCTCTCCATTATGTGGCTTAGCACAGAGCCCACCTTTGAGCTCTGCAGAGAAAACACTGGCATGATAGGCTCAGAGTCCATTTCTATCTGATACAGAAATGAGTCACCCTGAGGTCCTTTTTGCATTGAGACTACCATTAGTGTGGACATTTTTATTTCCTTAAAAGGCAAATGTGAGAAAGGAAACCAATTGAGAGGTTAAGCCTGAGAATCCATTTACTTTTTCTCTATGGTGTTCCCTGGGGCATATATACAGGAGACCCCATTCCTCCTATTCCCTCCCTTTTAAATATGTTTATACCCCCTGACCTTTTCTACTATGGTTCACTTAATCCACCATCCCAACCTCTCCATCTAGGCTGTCAGAACAACCAGTAGTGGTTAAGAGCTACAGGAATTGTCCAATTCCACTTTCTTCTAGAAGATCTAAAGTAGGAGGTTGGTTTTCAGCTGCAGAAATGTTTTTTCCTGTTTCAGGTTGGAGATACGATAGTTATATATAATAAAAGCACTGATACATGTGGGATTACATCTGACATTCTCATAGCTCAGAGCCTGGCATCATAATAGGTGCTTAGGAAATGCGTATGGGTAGATGGATGAATGGATCACTGAATGCATGAATGAATGAGTGGACAGATGAATAGGTAATGGACAAAGGGATGAATCAAAGAATGAATAACTCTGGATCCTTGGAAGCACTGTGTTCCAATGCACATTCAGAGTAAAGATCTGCAAGGGCCCAACTTAGGCCTTCATCCAGTTTGCATGGAAACCTAGGAAGTGGTGGCTCAGTCTAAGAAGTCGGTCATCATGTATATCATAATGTCTAGAGAAATTGTCTTTACACTCCTAGACAGTTTATGAACAACACTGTAAGATACAGACCATTTATAAATTGGCAAAAATCTGCATAGATGAGAAAGAAGACAGAGCTGAGTAGTAACTTACTCGGATGCCAAGACGGGGAAGCATTTTTGAAGTCATATTTTTCCTTTGGGTTATCTAGCTGAGCATCTTGTTGTCTCAGCTTCTTGTAGCACACTGGTTCACAGTACCAGTGGAGGGAGCCCTGGAAATACCATTTGAGTGGCCTTGGGAGAATTATTTGTTCTCTCCAAAGCCCATGTCCTCATCTATTAAGTGGGGATAATAGTATTTGCCAAACTACCTGATAGGGTTGTTGGAAGGCTCAGAACCTAGATGAAACCATATTTGTGAAAGACTTTGTAAACTGTAAGCACTATGCAAATGTAAGGTGTTGCTAAGATTGTTGTTGTTGTTGTTGTTGTTCCAGATCTTTGATGAAGAGTACAATGTCTGGTTCCTAGACTGGGGTGGCGCCCTCGTGGCCATGAAACACACACCTCTACCAGTCAGACATTTGTGGTAAGGACAGCTCCCTACCCTATTAATAAGCAATTTTTTTTTTTTTTTTTTTTAGTGGGAAGTGTTGGGACCAGTTTTTCTGCATGACTTTATACCCATTTACCCATTTCCTCTACCATTTATTCATCCATCCATCCATTTATTACACATCTCATCATCTAACCCTTAGGTAGCAGTGGTAGGCCAGAAATTTAGATGGGGAAGTATGATGATTAGAACAGGGTGGTAGGAATGGGGGCTTGGATAAGCAGAAAAGACCAGAAAGGACCTGTGAGTTCAAGCAGCCAAGATTAAGAATCTAAAATATAGGAAATGGAAATTGCTGCAAGAAGAATGTTAGGTTCATGTAGTAGATATGAAATTCAGTTCTAGATAATTTGAGTTTAAATGTCTGTGAATATTAAGCAGAGATGATGATTTTTCAAATACATTCATCTGAAGGTCAGGACAGAGGTCTGGGCTGACACTCTAGATTTGGAGACATTAGCCATTAGATGGTAGGTGAAGCCATGGCAGTGGGCCCAATGCCTCAGAAGAGTGGGTACAACAAGGAGAAACCAGGGATTCCTGCAGAACACTGTTAAATACCAACACACAGAGCAGAAAATAAATTATGGAACAGGCCAAGAAGAAGTAGACAAAACAATAAAAACACAGGACAAATGTTTTCTTTTTTTTTTAAGATTTTATCCATCAGAAAGGATGAATACCCAACTTTTACATCAACATGGATGGGACTGGAGGAGATTATGCTAAGTGAAATAAGTCAAGCAGAGAAAGTCAATTATCATATGGTTTCACTTACTTGTGGAACATAAGGAATAGCATGGAGGACATTAGGGGAAGGAAGGGAAAAATGAAGGGGGGGAAATTGGAGGGAGAGATGAACCATGAGAGACTATGGACTCTGAGAAACAAACAGGGTTTTAGAGGGGAGGGGGTGGGGGGATGGGTTAGCCCGGTGATGGGATTAAGGAGGGTACGTATTGCATGGAGCACTGGGTGTTATACGAAAACAATGGATGGTTGTATGACTTCAAAAATATCAAAAGCTAATGATGTATTGTATGGTGACTAACATAACATAATAAAATAAAATTAAAAAAAGATTTTATCTATTTGACACAGATAGACACAGCGAGAGAGGGAACACAAGCAGGGGAGTGGGAGAGGGAGGAGCAGCCTTCCCACTGAGCAGGGAGCCTGATGCGGGGCTTGATCCCAGGACCCCGAGATCATGACCTGAGCCGAAGGCAGCCACTTAACGACTGAGCCACCCAGGTGCCCCAGGAGAATTATTTTCATGGATGCTGAAGAAAGGGGTGATCAGTAGCACCAAATTCTATAATCAGACCAAATTAGTTATGGAATGAAAAACAATCTAAGATAAAGCAATATAGAGGAGTAAAGGAAGTCATTGTGATCTGTGTCAGAGTAGATTCAAAAGAGAAGTGGGATTGAAAGGTAGATTACAGTAGATTTATGAATGAAATGAATGATGAATGAATGAATGAATGAATGAATGATAAGCAATGGAGTGAAGTGGAGACAGTGTAGATAACTCTCAATAAAGTCAATTATGGAATGAGGCTGAGTGTGTATATGCATGACCCTCCAGTGAGGACAAAGATCTGTGAGAATATATTTTGATGATGATGATGAGAAAGATCTGTGAGAATATATTTTGATGATGATGATGATGATTCTGTTGTTTGTTTTGGCTTTTGGCAGGGGATGAATAAGTATCGTGTGTTTATATGCTGAAGGGGAAGAATTTCAGGCTTCAGATGCAGCAGAGTGAATATTTGAGAGTGAAAATTTGTCAGTAGAGGGTATGCTATCTAGAGTACAGTTGTTGGGATGAGCCATGAGCTGGAGGATGGACTCTGGCTTAACTCCCAGATCCTTGATTTTGGGAGACTAACCCTTTAAAGTAAGAGTTTTACTGGGAAACATCAGATTGTAATCAGTAAAAGATATAGGACTTCCAGGTGCCAAATTCAAGCTTAAGTCACCCTGGCAAGGACTTAAGAAGGTTTCTCTCAGTTATTAAGTTAAACCGTATCATCTTGCCATTTTTGTTGGTCAAAACTGGTCAAATATCATCAGTTTCTTAGAACTCGAGCTAACAAAGTCCAGTGGTTTTATCTACCACTCTGTCTTCATACAGAGAGATTATGAGATTAAATTTTGAAAAGATGCATGGAGCCATTTGTAAGGAAAAGTACTCTACCAACTCAAGAATAAGCTTGTACAAGTTCCCATTGTAATTCTTTATCATCCCTTTACTACTGATTATATACTTTTTGGATAAATTAGAAGCATGGAATTACTTAATACTAATGATAGTCAGGAGTTTTTGAGGAATTATATTCCAGGCACCATTCTAAACCCTTTACATGAGTTCGTTAACAACCCTATGTATGTGGGTACTCTTTTTATCACATATTTATGACATTGGAATGCAGACATATTAAGTTCTTTGCTCAAGTCTACACAGCTAGTACCTGGCAGCACTAAATTAGGTCTCTGTTATGGCTGCTCTTCTGTTTTAACTGAATTTTCCAGATACTTTAATGAGTACACAGAGGCTTATCACATGGCCCCGGCTCTCTGGGAGATCATAGTCAAGATAAGGAGCTTAATCCACATATCACCAGAAATCCAAGCAATGCCTGCTTAAGCATGCTGGCCATGTGTATTGCTGCGATCTTAGCACAGGATGGAGTCCTGCCTAGTGTGTAAGGGGGTCTTCATGTAGTTGCTGACATGAGAGTTAATTCTTGAAAAAAGGATGCCCTGTGTCAGAGGACTGATGAAAGGCAAGCCAAGGGAAGAGAAACTGTGACCAAAGCCTGGGATTCAGGAAAAGTAGGGAGTGTTCAGAAAATATATTTGATTAGAATAAAACATGGGAGTAAGTAGAGTGGGTAGGACTCAGAAGAACTTAAATGCCAGGTTGACCCTGTAGGTAATTCCTTCTACTGCAAAGACCTGCCTCCTTGTGGAGGGAAGAGCTTGTCTGTTGAGGACTGAAGAGCACTTGTACTCTCAGAGAGGATTACTTAATTCTTAAAACAAGTTCATTTGCTTATTTGCTTTTTAACCAAGAAAGGCAACGTTTTTAAAGCCCCTATCATGATGTTCTAAGAACTTCCACTGAGGTCTCAATAAGAAAATCAGTAAATGCCCTGCACAGATATAGCTGAGCAGATTTCTTCCACTTAAGTCTTGAGAGAAGGGGTGGCAACCCCATCTCACACTTGACCATCACCCTCCTGCTCTTTCTCCTTCATTATGGTAGGAACTTAGTACTTACTTAGTGGTTGATTTCTAGAGCCTTATGTACAAAAGTTACCTTGTTTTAAGGAAAAGAGGAATTTGGTGGTGTTATTTCCTTTTGGGGTTAGGAGAAGCGAGTGTATCTGGTGTGGAACGGAGGGACTAGAGAGTTTTGGTTTTGGTTCATCTTCCATCCTTACATCTGACCAGTCTATTCTGCAGTGGTTTCTCACCCAAGACCTGATCACTTCCAAAAGGGGCATTTGTCTGGGAATTTCTGGAGGGAAACCATCCAAGCTGGGAAAATTGTTTAATATTCTCTCAGGGATATGCAAGTAGGATAAAATCGTGCCTCTCAAAGTCACCAGTACAAAGTTTGCATTTTCCCTTGCTCCATGAAATATCTGTTTTGTTGGTAGAAAATGTTTGCAAAACTCAGAAAGAAAATAGCCTCATTCCCATTCAACTTCCTCTTATTATAATGATAATACCACCCTCCCTATGTCTGCCTACTCCAACTTACAAAGTATTAAACATGATTTTTCACGCTAAGCTTTTGAGATAGAATTTTCTCCATTTAAAGGATGTCGACACTACCATTTGTCATAAATGCTACAAATGTTTCCTTGAACTTGAACACCACCCGTGATTTCTGCTTACTTGCCTACCTGTGAATGCCATTCTCTATAATAATCTCTGCACTGGTTAAATGGCAGCCCTTGAGGACGTGTGTTAGAAGACAACAAGAAATAACCCATTCAAGAATTTTCCTTTGCACTTCCCTTCCAAAGGCTAAGTGAGTGTTTTGGGAGGACTTGTCTAATACCATTATCACCAGTGTTTCTTTATGAAATTCTTGACTGATTTTTGTCTCATGCTTATGAATTGCAAACTTGTGAAACTTAAGCAGTTTCTTCGTCACCAGTAGCTTCTAATGAAGTCACAACCTTCAGGGTAAACAAATAGCTCATTTTAAATGAAAGAAAAGTTATCACTTCATTGCTATTTTCTGTGGAGGCCTCAAACTGACGTTATTTTGTACACAGATGTATATATATTTGCATAGGAAAAAAACCCCACACCGGCTGACCCACTCTTTATTTTATTTTATTTTTTTAAAGATTTTATTTATTTATTCATGAGAGACAGAGAGAGAGAGAGAGAGAGAGGCAGAGGGAGAAGCAGGCTCCTTGCTGAGCAGGGAGCCCGATGCGGGACTCGATCCCAGGACCCTGGGATCATGACCTGAGCCGAAGGCAGACGCTTAACCATCTGAGCCACCCAGGCGCCCCCGGCTGACCCACTCTTACACAAGGGTAGGGTGGTTCTCAAATTTAAATAATAGCTATATTGCCTTTCAGAGAAAAGAGGAGTCATAATTGAAAAGCTGAGGAAACTTTAGCTAGACTAATAAGGCATGCTGTTTCCCATAAATTGAAATGATAGGTAGCTAGATATGCATGAAGACAAAACAGCATAAAATGAACCCATCTGTTTGTGACCATGTACATTTGGATGCATAGAGATTAGAACCTAAGTGCTGTTTCAGGTAAGCCCTCCATCCAGTATTATCTTTAGACCATGGACAGGTGAAATGAATAATGGGGCCCTATGGAAGACAGTGCTCTAATAAAAACTCACAATAGACAGAGCTACTAATTGGCAGGTAGACGGGGGTCCTACTGTTTGCTTAGCCCGGACAAGCTGTCAGCGTCTCC